AACATAGTGAAACTCTGCCTAAAGAAAAAAAAAAAAAGAAAGAAAATGTGATATATATGTATGTATATGTGATATATATATATATATACACACACACACACACACAACACCCCATGGAGTATTACTCAGCCACAAAAATGAATAAATAATGTCATTTGTAGCAACTTGGATAGAACTGGAGACCATTATCCTAAGCGAAGAATGGAATGAAAAAATAAACACCACATGTACTCTGATAATGGGGAGCTAATCGATGAGCACACATAAACACAAAGAGATATAAAGGTCTTGGAAATCAAGAAAGGGGGAAGGAGGTAGATGTAAAAACTTGTCTATCAGGTACAATGAATACTATTTGGGTGATAGGCACACTAAAAGCCCTGACTTAAGCATCATAAAAGGCATCCACGTAACAAAAAATATGTGCATGTCCCTGATATTTTGAAATAAGAAAAAATTATAAGTGGAAAAAAAGAAAAAACGCTAGCTTGGTACAGAAAGTGATGGAAAGCACTGAAAAGAGCAGACTAACCATGACGGTACCAAAGTGGAAATGTTTAACTGGCAATGCTGAAAAGGCAAGGGCTAGAGGACAGCCTACAAGAAGGGCAACTCAAACTCCTAGAGAGTAAGACCTGTGCTTCATGTATCTCAGTGTCCTCTGCAGGCTCTAGCACAGATCGTTTCAAAAGTCTTGAGCAGTGTGTGAGTAACAAATCCTCTCAAACTCTTTTGCCACACGTGTGCTATGGTTAATCTCAATAATCAGTGTCAGGTGAGTAGGGGCATAGATCTAGGGGACAAACACAAAAGAGGGGGATTTAACTTCATCCTATTGTTCTCTTTTCTATTTATTCTGACTTTGTATGTCAAAGAATAGTCCTAAAATATTGCCAGTATTGGAAGCTGACATGTCTCACTGAAGGAAAAACAAAAAAAGGAAAGGAAAAAACTTACCAGTAAACAAGGAACTATAAAAGAACTTCCAGCCTATGGAAATTGTTCCATAGATAATTTCCATGTTTCTATGTCTGATCCTAGTAGTTATTTTGAGCATCCTAAAACAACACTAAGTAATGACACACTAATAGCTGAAGCAAACTGGAGTCTTTTTTCAGTTTGGAGGACTTTGTGTCCTCTGTTCTAATTGCTTTCATTCCTATGAGTTTCCCAATTAATAATGATCCCATAAGTTCAGCAACTTAGTAATTTAAGGAATCATCTCATAGTGAATCTACTTTATTAAATGATGAAAAGAATAGTCACTTAATCTTATCTAGAAAGGGAAATAAATTTATTCAATCTTCAATTATTTCTCTATTATGATCATATCAAAGTTTCTCTTCCTTTTTCTGAGACAGAGTCTCACTTTTTCACCCTGGGCAGAGTGCCGTAGTGTCGTTACAGCTCATAGCAACCTCAAACTCTTGGGATTAAGCAATTAGCAATCTTCTTGCCTTAGCCTCCCGAGTAGCTGGGACTACAGGCATACACCACTACACCCGACTAATTTTTTCTATTTTTGGTAGAGACAGGGTCTCACTCTTGCTCAGGCTGGTCTTGAACTTCTTAGCGCATGCAATCCACCCACCTGGGCTTCCCAGAATGCTAAGTGAGCCACCATGCCCAGCCTTTCTCTTCCATTTTAGACATTTATCTATCTATCTAAATATCTCTTTAAACAATATTCTTAGTTTCTTTATCAATAAATTTGATTGACATTCATAGTTCAAATGAAACAACTAAAATTATTAGGAAACATTTGGGGGTAGCTGAAGTAAAATTTAACTTATTAAGTTAAAAAAACAAAGACCCCACCAAAAGCACATTATTCAAGGCTCGGCACCCATAGCACAGTGGTTATGGCACCAGCCACATGCACCAAGGCTAGAGGATTCAAACCCTGCCCGGGCCAGCTAAACAACAGACAACTGCAACAACAACAGCAAAAAATTAGCTGGGTGCTGTGGCAGGCACCTGTATTCCCTGGTACTTGAGAAACTGAGGCAAGAGAATCTCTTAAGCCCAAGAGTTTGAGGTTACTGTGAGCTATGATGCCACAGCACTCTACCAAGGGCAACATAGTGAAACTCTGCCTAAAGAAAAAAAAA